TAAAGATATGGTAGACTGCTTATATCTATATACCTTGGTGGGGTTGAAAAAAAGCAATAGGGCGTTAGTTCACGGTAACATTTCCCGGCTCCAAATGCATCAGTGAGATCATGAAAGGGTCGAAAACGGTGCAATCGATTGAGACTATCTATGATAATAGAATAGAAGGTAAATACTACCTAAAGCCCAATACCTCACGATGCGCAATGAGGCACCGGGAGTATTGGGGGAAAATGTGCTAGAACATGAGATTTCACCGGAGGAAATAAAACCCCCTCATAAACCACAATTGCCCATTGGCCTACAGTGTGTCGAACCAGGAGGTAAGCGAAGGGAGCATCTAAACGAGATATTGCACAACACTAGGCCTATGCCACTGCATTCAGGAAGTGAATGGAACAGGAAGCCCCTAACCGTATGCTTAAAGACATCTTCCTGCAGTAGTGACAGTTCGACTATTCAGATATATTTCACCCCTAGGCCAGTAAACACAGCATGGACCCCGCAGAGCAACTGGCTAACTAGTCCACATCATCCAATTCATCTAGCCTACAATGAACCTTGAGAGCATTCCGTATCGCCGCTAATGGCCCCTTTAAAACCTTCCCTAATCCATGGCCTAACCCCTTACCGACCGTTCCGCTGGAAACTAAACCCAAGATCTAAATTCTCCGTGGGGGCTCGCTTCTTCAGAAGTTATCGCAGTTTGGTGAGCTAAGTCACTTTTGTGTCGCCATACAGTCCCTAGTAATTAATATCACATTCTCTCTCTAAACCGGGGATAGAGCTTGCCGAGTGACGGAGTGTGAGGAAGCTCCGTTTCAGGAACTTTGCGATAATTTTAGATTTGTTTGTAGGAATAGGATACAGTTGATTATTTCGCGCTTAATATAGCATTGAAGTTATCGCCTATTCCCGCCTAACTTAGGCGATTCCAGAGGCATCCAGGAATCAAGTGGCTAGTATGCAGTACATGATTTTTCGGGACACTGACTGAAGGCCGCAATGCGGTTTCGCGCTCTGGTTGTGACTGTACTCCAATCGAGCAAGGCTCGAAGTGTCATGTAGCGAACAGCGCCCGGGCGTGATCACCATAGAGATACATCCTTCGTAGAACCACGTAGAAATTCACCGCCCAACTATTTCTACACCAAACATCTACCATTTCAAGATTCCAATTGGCCCCAACGACCCACTCCCCAGTTCAATTGTTCAGATGTCGGGGGTCCTGCATTCGACTTAATGGCATCGGGCACCTTCGGAAGGCACTGCCCAAGCCGAGTTCTCCAATTCATTCCCCCAATGTACGTACTCTCCCTGGCAGTACGAGTCTCCTCAAGAAGCACCGCATAGCCTTGCGAAACCCCAACTGGGCACTAGAGCTCGTGAAGCTTCAAGTATCGGAGCCTGGTCCCACCAAGTGTACAACTGCTCTGTTGGAAACTCTAATGGCTGTGGGCTCGGTGAGTGCCATCCCGTGCGTTTGGGCGATAGGTCTGCCAACAGCTAATCTACGACTATTCGAAAGCATGATTATGGGAGGTAGTTACTGTACGGTTCGTAAAATACACGAGGTGAGCTTTTCCGGCATATATATCGCCAGATCTTAACTGACGGAAAATGAAGTACTGGACATACGTCTCGGAAGTGCTCACGGCAGAACAATACTGGAGAAAGGTTCAGGTACCTGAATTGGAGACGTCGAAGCGTGTAGCGAATTCAGATAGAAGACATTCAAGATAGGGTCTCAAGAGCCCTCTCTGGAAAAGAATTAAGAAGCCATTCGTTCTCTAGATGTTTATCGACTTTGTGGTGGGTGGGTCTATTGCTTGTCCCCCTAAATTTTACCTGCGGGCCCCACTGTAAGCACTTTAGTTCTGCCGGAACGTTGCTAGGAAAGAAAACATGCCGCTCGAGTGGAGGTTTGGATCGAGTGATATTCAATGAACAGAAAATCTAGTGCGGTTCCTACGGCGGGATGATCTCCTAAGTATTGAAATGTGCCCGTTAAATTTATGGCGTGCCGGCGGCATAGGTCAGTGGAGGGGCAAGCCGGTTTTCTGCCAATTAAATCGGTTTGGCTACTCATGCCTAAGAGGAATCCAGTAGTTGCCCAATAGGGCTGATACATATGGAACCCAAATTTGCAAAAAGTCTTTCACTCATTAATCCCGGCTATCATTGGCGCTGCCGGATGAAGTGGTCTTCCCCCCATCGACAATGTTGGTCGATCTGCTAGTAAAATTGCCGGGACTGGTAAGGTGTTGCTACGTCAATGGGCCAAGACCTGCTGGTTGCCGTAGCGACGAGTGGCTAAAAACAATAAACCTATACCCAGCCTCCTACCTTCCAAGGCACAAACTACCAACCACCAGCCATCCAGCAGAATTACCCCCTCGTTTTTTTTCCCTCTCCCACCCACTATTCACTCACACACAATCTAACCACACCTCGCCTTCATTTTATCCAACCGCCGATTTTGACCCATCACGATTTCACGAATTTCTTCATCACTCCTATCGACAAACTTCGAGTTTCCTGCTGCATATTTTTCCCCTACTTCTTTATACCACGTTGCGCTGGCGCGGCGGTAGCTAGTCATGGCTCCCTGTCCGTTTCCTATCTTTGAGCCTTCTTTGGAGAATTATCCGAACCCTAGAGACTTGGGCAATCCATCTAAAATCCTCAATAAACGTGGCGACTACATTCCCCGCTCTTCGGAACCTACCTCTTCATCATCAGAACTTTTCAATGAGCTCTTCTCACGGGCTATCGGCTTCTTCACGACCCCGGAATCATCACCTTCAGCGCTAGAAATTCGGGACCTAGAGCCGCGAGCATCGTATGTCAAACCAAAATCCATGACTGCTGGCGTGCTCGTCGTCTTCTGTCTACTTGGAGCATCAATCGGACTTATGGTTCTCTGGCTATTCGTTCGTAAGGGTGGGTTCATGTGGAAGGACTCCGACTGGGAAGATTACAAATCCTCTGTGCTCCGTCGACCAGCTGCTCGCCCGGATGACGCTATCACGGTTTTCTCAGATGGCTCCACACGCCGTGGCGGTGGCACCACAATGGGGGCTCGCACGGTCGTTCTTGGAGAGCTCGACACCACGTACACCAAGTCCGAAGTCATCCGCGGACCCCGCGCCAAGGAACTTACCGAAAAGAAGAGTGCTAGGTCCGTCGTTGGAGGACTATGGGCACAAGCTCAAGATGCGTTCGGGAGGTTACGTGGTGGAGATGGAGATGTAGCAGTGATTCACCGCCCCCGCCGCGTCAAGCGGCAAACGAGGGAAGCGGACATCCGATCTGTCACCTCGGTGGGAACTTTTATCGACAATCAGGAACCTGCTCGCCCCGCAGGCTGGAAACCAGAAGACTCAGACTTGGGCAATTATCCGGATATGACTCGTGGACAGACCGTTATCAGACACCCGCCTTCGGCATTGAAAAAGTCTGGGACCGGAACATCGAGGAATGTCGCTAGACGCAAATACCAGGACAACGATAGCGATGATTCGGATACCTCGTCGTCTTCGGACTCAGACTCAGACTCGGAGGATGAGAGCGTTACTCAGAGTGCATTGGGGATGGCTAAAGGAACGAAGGTCTATACACACCCATACGTAGTCGGACGGCAACCGCAGGAAAGAATGGGCAGTAGTTCTGGAGGTACATACGGAGTTCTGCCCCCCGCCCCACAAACATCAAATGCCCTCGTTCCGGTCGAAACTAGCTTGGTGCATGTGCAAACCGGAATGGTGCACGTCCCGCGAGGGGGGGCCCGGAGAAGCTCCAGGAAGAAGGGGTACAGGAAAGAGAGTGCCGGGAGTCTGAGCTCGGATGGGAGTATGAGGAGTTCTAATGCTTAAGTTATGAGGTTATGATTATGTCTTATCTGGCGGGGGCTGTTGTGTGGGCGGGGAATGCTTTTTTTATATTCTCTTTTTCTTTTTCTCCTATTCTCCTTGAGAAGGAAGAGGACATATTTTGGTGGTGGTCTGTTTATCACGGGAAACATGGAATAGGAGAGGTGTTTTTTTTATATTCTATCATTGCTTTGTGCTCCTCCTTACTATCATGTGTTTGGGGGATGGGACGAAGAGGGCTTGGATTAGGAAATGGCAATGGACAGACGTTTATGTACTCGTAACATAACGCAGCGCAGCGCACCACGGGTGCGGTGCCGGCGGTTGGAGATTAAGCGATCGTCTGAACAGGGCGGTGATGGGGGCTTTTGTTCTCTGCTGGGTATGCTCGTGCTGTGCCCGTACTGTACCGTTATCCGTCCATCGTAACCGTACCCAAGTGTAACCAAATATCACACCCGAACGAAGGCGAATAGACGTTACATAATAACGACACCATAATTCCCGTATTACATTTTCCAATACGGCACCCCTGCTCATGGAGCGAAGGTGCGTATTGGCATATCCAAGTCTAATATGACAAGTATGGAAGCTCTTCCACGATCGGGGTGGGGGAACTGAACTACTTGTATTTGTGACCATCATAATAATCATTACAGGACCTTACGCGATACTTCCGGAGCAGTGTAACGGTGGAATGCCGAGGGGTTCGAGCCAAAACGAGCCTTCCAGCGACGATGTGCTGCCGAATCGGAAGCTGGTGGTAACTTATTGATGTGCGGTAGGTCTAAGCTACGATAGCCTACTTGTAAATTTAGTCTACCGTCACGTTTTGCAATAATGTTCTCTTGATAGGGCGCGTGACATATTACCGGAATCATGAGGGGAATCACAGGCACAGAATCGATCTGGAGTCATCTTGTGCTCAAAAAGAGCACAAAGTGAGATCGGTCACACACACCCTCATGACTTGATGTTATAATATTATCATAGAAAAAGTGGAAAAAGTGTTACTTCACGTGTTCTTCTGTCACCTCCCCCTCGTTCTCTTCCAAGCCCCACCTGCATCATCATTCTGTATGATATCTACCGCTATCTACCCTATCCTGCCCAGTAGGATTCGTCTTGGCAGCACCTCTTTCTCTCCCTCGCTCTTTCCTTCCCCGCCAAACAGATTCTTCCCCTCCAATATTTCAAGGTCCGACAATGCCCCCAAACAAAGTTCGCTTCTCACCCACTGTCTCCCGTTCCCACACCCCACCGCACTCGCCTTCGCCAACCCCCTCCAGCTCATCGATCCTCTACAACACCGATGATGACCAGGACTCCGACGACGATGATTCCGTACGCCGGAACCTCCTTCCGACAATTGCACGACCATTGGTACGCCGTCGCAGACGGCTGGGTAAGCGGAATGCATGGATGAAGTTTGGGATGACGGTCTTGCTGGCCGCAGCTTTACTAGGTCTAGGAGTTTTGTTCGGGGTTATCTTTTGGGAGAATGAGGAGGGGATTGGTGCGTTTTCCTTCAGTCCTGGGGAGTGCGGGGAGTGGGTGATGGGAATGGGGGATTATTGGGGTTTAGGACCAAGGAGGAAGGGCTGACGGAAGATGCGTTGGGGTTCGGGGGTGTAGTTGATGATGGAATTCTGGTGGATGCGCCGAGGGGGGCGGTTAGTAGTGATGTGGGACCCTCTCTGCTGATCGTTTGTCCGGAGGTTTGATTGACGGGGGACTGTGTGCTGATCTTGCGCGATAGGTTCTTACCTGCTCAAGAATTGGCGTGGAGCTTTTGAAGAAGGGCGGGAATGCAATTGATGCTGCTATCGGTAACTTCTATTCTTTGTTTGCTCTGGTTAGCGTTGCGATGCTGATGTACGTGTAAGGGACCGCGGCATGCATTGGGGTTGTGAACAGCTTTGCCAGCGGCATCGGCGGTGGGGGGTTCATGGTTGTACGCGAGGGTGATGGGCGATCTAAAGCTTATAATTTCAGGGAAACAGCGCCGGGGAGTGCTTCCCGGGATATGTACAGTGGTTTGTCTTCTTCCTTCCGCAGTGCCTTTCCACCTGTTATTGTTGAGTCTTGGCCAGAGCACTGGCTGACTGGCTGACTGGGTGCATTATCGTTCAGGTGATCCACTGAAAGCACGGGTCGGCGGTCTCGCAGTAGCAATCCCCGGAGAGGTCCACGGGTATGCTACGGCACATGCCCGGTCTGGCCGGCTACCCTGGCAAGAGATTTGGCAGCCGTCGATAGACCTGGCAAGAAGGGGTTTCCACATCCCGCCGATGCTGGCGGGAATCATGGCCAAGGAGGCGCCGTTCTTTCGACAGCATAGGGAGGAATGGGAATTTTTGTTCAGTCAGGAAACCGGTGAGCTCTTACAAGTTGGAGAGCTTATGAAGAGGGAGGCGTACGCACGCACGCTCGAAGTTATTGCCGGCAAGGGGGAGTATGCTCGCGGTGGGGTGTATTCCGGAGTGAAGCAATTCTATAACGGAAGCATTGCGGAACGAATTGTTGAGGCTGCAAACAAGCATGGTGGTATATTGACTACCGAGGACTTTTCGAGGTATTTTACGATCGTCGAGGATACGGTCAGAACACACTTTCACGGACGGGAGGTTATTACCTGCCCACCCCCTTGCAGGTATGTCTGATAGGTCCGACATTTCAGGTGTGTGGGGGAGGCTTTTCTGATCGAACTGGTTGGTTACAGCGGGGCCGTATTGATCGAGGGATTGAATATCGCTGAAAAGCTGGACATAAGCGATCCCGATAAGTCACTATCGTACCATTATTTAGTGGAGTATGCTCTTCTCGTTTCACAAACATGATGACATAAGCTAACTTTTTCGTGCAGAATAATGAAGTGGATATCCGCAGGGCGCACCGAACTGGGAGATCCTGCGGACCCGGTGGTAGCGTCCAATTCCAAGAGGATACACCAACTGCAAAGCAAATCCTACGCGGAAGCTGTTCGGGCAAACATATCCGCTGACACCACCTACTCGTGGGAACACTACAATCCAGCGTACGAGCCAGTAGATCCCAAAGGAACCTCGCACCTATCCGTGTTGGACAATTACGGGAATGCCGTAGCCCTCACCACCACCGTGAACCTGTACTGGGGCGCCAAAGTTCATGACCCACAAACCGGGATCGTCCTAAACTCGGAGATGGACGACTTTTCCATCCCTGGTCGCTCAAACGCGTATCGTCTCGAACCGTCCATATATAACTACATCATCCCCTACAAGAGGCCGTTATCATCCACCACTCCCACCATCATCGTCGAGGAGGACGGGGCGCCCGGACTAGTCATTGGTGGCTCGGGCGGCTCGCGAATTGTCACAGGTGTATTCCAGGCCATCGTGAAGAATTACCTGTGGGGATATAATCTTTTGGACACCATCAAGAGTCCTCGGTTGCACCACCAATTGATTCCAGAGGTGGTGTCCGCCGAGCGCGGCACCGAGAAATGGATCCTCGAGGGCCTTGAAGAGCGTGGGCACGTCATTGGGCTAAGAGGCATCGGAGAAGCTTCTGGCGGGAGCGTCATCCAGGTGGTGAAGGGCATGGACAGCGGTCGAGTGGAGGCTGTGGCTGATTGGTGGAGAAAAGGAGGTGTAAGTTTTTTTTTTCCCTCCCCCTTCCCTTTCCCCCCTTTCCCCTCCTCTTCTTCCCTTGCTCTTTTTCGCCCTTGCTTTCCCCCCGTCCTCCCACCGATTGATTGCCCACCTCACACAGACATCATTGAGGTTACTCTTTCTACTCTGTCCCTTTTAGCATAGCAGTCGATCTGACAGGGCTGATTGCGTTCTACTCGTACAGAGGGCTGCCGGGTATTGAATTGAATGGATAGTGGTCAACCCGCGGGGGTGGGGTAAGTTTGATGCTTGAGCAACGCTGACCCTACAGTATGACGGAAACGAGGGTCTTGTTGAAGGGAATTTTCATGCTCATCTCAACCACTCTACCCCTCCGATACGCCAGTAAATAAGTATCATAACCTTGATAGAGCAGGTGCAAGTAACTGTGTAGGCATGAGTTGCGATTACATAGAAATACTATTTTTATTTTTATTTTTGTTTGCATGTTTTCCTTCTCCCACGATAAGGTACCGGCAATTACGGGATGGGATGGTGGCTCCGATTTGTTCTGGTTCGGTAGCGGAAATTACGATAACTACTAATTCTTACAATTCTTACTTGTACTCTCTACTCAAGTATGATACTCTTAGTTCAACAGGATTTTTTTCCCCTCCATCCCTCAATTACTTGGGATACCGGTAGATATTTTTGTTGTCCAGTCCGAGCCAGCCCTCACAACGAGCTTTCGGGACAGGGCAGATCAGAATTCCATTTGTTGGCCCAATGTTGGGGGTAGCGTTTTTCCGGACGCGGTTACCGGGGTTTTCGCTACGCTTTCCCTGCTTTGGGATCAAGAGCTACCCCGGCTGCAAAACTGTATGCCTTTTAGGAGAGGTGGGCACTTGTGATATCTGTCTGCTTGCTTATAATACTGATCGTGCCTACGCACGGATTGTGCTGCACCTCCCCCCAGCGGGGTACTCGAGTACTTGTAGGATGGGGCGTAATTGTTAGCAATACCGGTATGAGGGTTTCCCTAACGCGAAAGAGGAGCAAAAAGGGGAGGGAGTGATGGTGGAAGAATAGCTGTGGTCAGAAGTAAGGTAAGGTACCGGTTCATGATCTCTTCCTTACAGGATAGAAAGGTGGAGGTTGAAGGGGGGGGGGTGCGGAGATATCGATTGTACGGTTTTGAGGGTATAGTAGATTTATCGGGTAGCTGTTACGGGGCGTTTACGCGGATCCGTTTTAGCTTTCCGGAACTATGGGACGGATTGGAAGGGACTTTGGATGGGGGGCTATACGGTGCAGCTGGTGGT